AAAGAACATGTTTTGTTTTGTTTTTCCTTCTCTGCTCTATCCCACCACCTGCCTAAGGCACTAATAAGTGGCCAGGACTTAGACACTCTGTTCTTGAGTTTGTGGTCTTCAGTAGCTTGAATCACCAACTTCACTGTTCCTAGGAATAAAAGACAAGCTGCTGATGGTGTACTATCCTACACTGCACTATTGGAAATTGCAGGCAGTGTTTATAAAAATGCTGATAAGTTGAGTCTATCATAGTATATCACTGATATATATTATATTGCTGATACGATCTGTTCTATTACAGTATTATTGGAATGAAATTGTTACAGTATGAGGGTCCTTGATAATTATATGAAAGATTTGCATACAAAACTCAGAAACTTAAGAAGTTAGTTTATCGGGGGCTGGAGTGAAAGCACAGCAGGTAGGGCATTTGCCTTGCATGCAGCCCAACCCGGGTTTGATTCCTAGCATCCCATGTGGTCCCCCGGGCACGGCCTGTGCATTGCTGGGTGTCACCCAAAGGGCAATAAATAAATAAATAAATAAATAAAATATTTTTTTTAAAAAAAGAAGCTAGTTTATTGTACAGTTCTAGTGTATGGGTCCAGGTCCCTCCCTAATGCCCAGGCCTCTTGTGTACCGGTGTCTGACATCACTCATCCTGTTTCTTGATGCTCAGTTTCATGTATGGCATCCTCTGTCCTGTCCCTCATGGTCTGTTCACTTTTGATATACAATACTGTTGTTGTTATACTGTTCTCTATTCAGTGTACACTTTCCTAGTCTGAAATCTTCAGCTGTATCTGAAATCTGTTATCTGTATCTTTGTCCCCTTGGTCGGGAGACTTGCTTCTCTGTAACATCACCTGGTCTCTCTAGGAGTAGTGGCTCCCTGTTCCACTGGCTTTCCTCGTCTCCACCATGGCCATGTGAGCATGATTGAGATCTTGCTGTCTTACCATCTGACTATAGGAGTCCTACCTGGTCCTGGTGCTGTTGTCTGTCTGGGCATAGGTAAGGGGAGGAGAGAGGGAAAAGGAGCGGGAAGGTAGGAGTGAGAGAGACAGAGACAGACTGGTTAGGGATTTTCTTTTATCCGCTACTTCCAACACTTAGCTTCCCTAATATATTGCCTATTTTGATTAGATACCTTTCCCGTGGGCAAGGTTTTTTTTTTTGTTGTTTGTTTGTTTTTTTGGTCACACCCACAATTCTCAGGGGTTACACCTGGCTCTGCACTCAGGAATTACTCCTGGTGATGCTTGGGGGAATATGGGATGCTGGGAATTGAACCCAGGCTGACTGCATGCAAGGCTGCATACCTGCTGTACTATTGCTTCAGCCCCCTGTGGGCAAGAATTAAGTCACCAATAAACTAATTCACCTAACACTCCACCCTTCCACTCTCGCAGTATCAGCACATCATAGTTTATGATGAAATGTAATCTAGTTATCAACATAAATTACTTGTATTTTTAAAAAATTGACATTTAACCCAACTGTAACTTTGGGGGAGAGAATTGAATGAACTTTTAAGACCTAAGTGTCTCTGTATTATGTTTTTATATGAGTGTGTATTTCTTCGACGTTCTTGAAGGCGTTCCAAGCCGCTCTCTTCCACCTGCGCAGCTCGGGTGCCAGGTCATTTGTCATGTTGACCTCTCAACCTAAGTACACATAGCTGTTGCATTCGGAGATGGTCGTTCCATTGAGAGCGAATGGGGCGTCAGGAACGAGGCTGTTTCTCATAAACACTGTCTTCGTAAGATTCAGCTGTAGTCCTACCTTTCCACACTCACAGTCAAAGTCGGCCAGCATTTGTGCCGCTTGGCTGATGTTTGGTGTTATTAAAACAATGTCATCAGCAAAGCGGAGGTGGTGTAGTTGCCGCCCATCTATCTTCACTCCCATTCCTTTCCATTCCAGTCGTCGCATGATGTTCTCAAGGGTGGCACTGAAGAGTTTCGGTGAAATGGTATCACCCTGCCGCACCCCTCTCTTGACATCAACAATCACTTCTTTGTAGAATGGTGAGATCCTGGTAGTGAATCCGCAATACAGCTCACGGAGGAGCCTGATGTATTGGGCTTGAATGCCCTGATTGGCTAGGGCTTCAATGACCACTTCCGTCTCAACAGAATCAAAGGCCTTCTTTAAGTCAATGAATGTTAAACAGAGTGGCATCTTGAACTCCCGAGAAACCTCAATGAGCTTGGTTATCGTGTGGATATGGTCGCTGGTGCTGAATCCTTTGCGGAACCAGGCTTGCTCGCATGGTTGTCCTTCATCTAGTGTTCTGCCAATCCTATTTAGGATGACTCGAGTGAACAACTTGTAGATGACAGACAATAGGCAGATCGGGCGATAGTTGCCAATGTCATGGATGTCTCACTTCTTGAACAGTAGTACGGTCCTGCTGGTTTTCCATTGGGACGGAACCTTGCATTCAGACAGGTAGCGAGTGAAGAGCCAAGCCAGTGTATTGATGAGTACTGACGGCAGGTTCTTCAGGTGTTCAGGTCTGACCTTGTCTGGGCCAGGTGCTGTTTGTTTCTTTACCGACGAAATGGCATGTCGGATTTCGGAAGGGAGAACGTTGGGAACAACATATCCATCCTGTGGAATTTGGTATGTCGGCAAGTGGACATGGCTATCGAAGAGATTTGAGTAGAAGTCATGGATTATCTTCTCCATTGCCATTCTGGAGGATGTGATGGATCCATCAGGATGTCGGAGGGCAGTCATCTTGGTCTTGTAGTTGGCGAAGGACAGGCGGGCGTTACGAATACTTTTCCCGGCTTCTGCTGCATCTACCAGTACTTCTGCTCTTCTCTCTTTGAGGTCTTCCTTGATTGCATCTCTGCACTGCTTTGCAAGCTCGGACCTTAGCTGGCGGTTGCCTGAGGCATGCGCCAAACCACGCTGATGAATTAGCTCAAGAGTTTTCGAAGACAGGCGATTTTTTGTGGCTATCTCTCTCTTGGCGTTCCTCGCACATTCATGGAGGTGCTGAACCAGTCGATCGTATTCCTCGTCAATGTTGTCAACAATGGCATCTTCCCATGTTGCCGCAATAGTACCAAAGAGTTCTCAGTTGGTGGTCATTCTGGGAGTTCTCTTTTTGAACTTTGCAGCCCTTTCTCCCCGCTCTGTGAAGTAGAATTTTGCATGAAGGAGACGGTGGTCCAATCCCATTCGAAATTTTGGGACAACAGCGACATCGGTCAGGCAAAACCGTCGATTGAATATGATGTGGTCTATTTCATTGTGGAATCGTCTACCGGGAGACTCCCATGTCCATCGTTTAGATTCTGCCTTCTGGAACTGTGAGTTACCATGAATGGTCTTAGTCAACATGATGAACTCAGACAGTCTCTCACCCTGTTCGTTCCATTCTAGGCCATGGGTCCCGATGTGAAGTTCTTCAGCTGATCTTCTCGGTCCTATCTTGGCATTAAAATCACCCACAATGATCTTGTAGAAGGTGTGGTCTTCTCTAGCTCCATGTAGAACTTCTCGATTTCTCTTTCATCATAATGAGATGTTGGTGCGTAGACAACGAAGATAGAAACTGCAGGCAGTGAGCCACATCTATTCAGATGTAAACATCCGATTCCGGTTGTTAGGCATTCGAATGAATCAATGCTCTTGGCCAAGTTTGTGTTGACAAGGACACCGATGCCTCCAACACCTCTTTTATCGCATGTTCCGAGGAACAATTATTCTCCAGTGTCGAAAACGGCATGGTGAGATTCGTGCCTTCTTTTCTCGGTCAGACCAATGATGTCGTACTTGATCATTCGCGCTTGTACCATCAGGTCCTCGATGGATGCATCTGATGCTAGCGTACGTGCATTGAAAGTACGGACGATCATTTTTGTCTGCCTTCGTTGTGGCAGCCTAGGTCGGCCTTGAGATTTTGTCGGCCTCTCCTTTCTCATCCTTCTCAGTGCTGCCATGTCGGTTAAGCCTTCAGGGTCAGGTGAATGAGACCAGTTGTAGTTACTGGTTTTGGCATATCGAATACACAACGGATAGCGTGCCAGGCTCTTCCGTGTGGGTGGAATACTCTCGGTAGCTTGCCAGTCTTTCCGAGAGGGATAGAGGCTTTTGGGGCGACCTCTAATCACCCTTGTAGGTGTTACCATATTTGAACCCTATCAAATACGGTACGACAATTCCGGAAGATGGGTATTTAGTGTCTTATGATGTGTCGCGTGGCCGCAAAGAAATAGCTAAGAGGACGAAGAACCTCCGGCTCCGGGCATATCTCTTTGATTCCACTGTTCTTCCTGCATTAACATATGCCTCAGAGACCTGGGCCCTACGCAAACAAGATGAGAACGCTATTCAGGTCTCCCAAAGAAGAATAGAAAGAGCTATGCTTGGAATATCACGTTTCACTCAAATGAGAGAAAGAATCCGGAGTTCTGATATCCGTTGACGATCAAGAATCAGGGACACTGTCTCATTTGCCAAGGTGTCGAAAATCAGATGGGCTGGTCACGTAATGAGATTTAAAGACGACCGCTGGACTAGAGCTGTTACCGACTGGATTCCACAGGATGTCAAAAGACCGCGTGGCCGCCCATCTACCAGATGGTCAGACTTCTTCATCAAGATCATGAACGATCGGTTTGAGGCCCTTCATGTTCCCGGAGCGAATAGATGCCATTGGGCTACACTAGCACGCGACAGGGACAAATGGAGACGTTACTGGCGCCCGCTCGAGCAAATCGACGACTAACGGGAAGTTAAGTGATTAAGTGATTAAGTGATGAGTGTGTAACACATTATAGGTATTTCTGCACTAAACTATTTAACATTAAGAAAAATGTGTCCCAGATATGTTCTTTGGCAAATGGAAACATATCCGTGTTTCACCTGAGTCTTTTTTACAGGAACTGCTAAAAAACTCCTGGATTTTATTTGGAACATGTGTGTTCTTTTGCTCATGCAGTTTCTTAGGTGACTCTGGTGATCCCTGTTTTCTCTTCTTGTTTTTACAGGTGATCTGCAATTCTTTCTCCATCTGTAATGCAGAGATGCAGGAAGTCGGGGTTGGCCTATATCCGAGGTACAGTGGACAGTATTTCATTTACTGGAAGAAACAACATTATTTCCCACCGACGTCCTTCAACTTTTGGGAGTAGTTAGAAAATCTTCTGCAAGCTTTCAATATTGGTGCTTGAAACCCAAAACTAGATTATAAGAAAATGGAAAATGTTAAGTTTAAAGAAAATGATTTTACAACCCCACATTATATACTATGACATTAGCAAAGAGGCTGACATCAGACACAAACTCTTGTTCACAGGAACTTTGGGGAGAAGTTGAGAATTATGGGTTTAAATAAATCATCAGACTGAGATTTGGTTATTCCCCCACCTCTTCACTGATCTGATTTTCCAACCTCCAAAGCAAATCACATTATTTTACCAGACTCACAGCACTGAACCAATGGGCTCATTTTGGCTGCAATTTAGTGTGTTTAAAAACCAGTTTCTTTGGGAAGCAAGAAACTGCGAAGGTTTAGCCCTCTGAAGCGCTATCTCTAATGATTGCTGTGACCTTTATCACTGAACTTTAGGTGAGTTTGCCACCTGAACCCCGGAGATGCTCCTAGTCTCATTTTGTTTTTATTCTTTTAGGGTCCAAATGCTAACACAGCCTTTCTTATATTGTGAATCTAAGGACTCACCTTGTGTTATTAAAGCATATGTTATAACCCCAGGGATATTAGTCTTGGTTCTGAATAAATAGTAACATAGGCACTGGGGAGATATAACTAGAAAGTTATATCACAAGGGAGATATAACTAAGAGAGGTCATATAGTGCATGCTTTATATGCTCAAGGTCCTGAGTTTAGTCTGCAGCATTGCATGGTACCACTGAGCACTATTGACTATAACCCCAGTAGCCCCTGACTACCGCTAGGGAGGGCCCTCATAAAGAAAATAAGTGGTCACATAGAATGGTTCAGATTAAGGAGTGCTGAATTCAGGGTCAAATTCAGTTACTACTTACTTGCATGTCAATGGCCAAGTAACTTCACTTCATGTATCAGCATTTTCATCTATAAATGATTGTCATAAAATTAACATGGTGATTAAATTGGATAAGCATGTTCAAGTGCTAACACAGTGCTTTAAATATATATAAATGCTCACAGTGTTTGTATTTATTATTACAAATATGGTGGCAGTTTAAATTCTTTCCCTTCCACAGATGGTATTTTTTTTTTTAAGTGCTTCCAAGGAAATGAAATGATTGGGCCTTGGCCCAGAATGCGTCAGGACCTAGTTAGCAAAATAACCTCAGCTTTTTCTTTTAGAGGAAGTGCACCTAATTATTCTTCATGTAGCTGTAACATGTTCTAACAAAGGTGGCAATTCCTGCAAAGGAGCTCAACAAATGAGATCCTGTGTGGGAAAGGTCAGGAGGATCTTGGCTGCAGTGATTACTGCTGCATCCTTTTGTGTCAGAGATTATTTAAAAAAAAAACACACACACACAACTGTGAGGCAGTTTTTGGCCAGCCTCATGGGCTGCTGTCTTCCCCCCAACACCTCCCAACCCCCACAAGTAAGACTTAGAAAATGCTCTTATTAACAGACTGCCATTCTTAGCTGCCACTGGGGAGTATTTGGCTTTATATGAAATAAGCTCTTGACAATGCTGTGACAGCCTCAGGAGCTCTTCCAACTTACCTGGCCCCCTCCCGCAAATTAAAGTGTCTTTTGCCCACTGCACTTACTAAATGTATAGGTTTGACTACTGAGCCGTGCTAATCTCCCCTCCCCCCACCATTTTTTCCTCTAGCATGTCTTTGCTCAATCACAGCTGTGACCCCAACTGTTCAATTGTGTTCAATGGTCCCCACCTCTTACTGCGTGCAGTCCGCGATATCCAGGCCGGAGAGGAGGTAAGAGACCTGTGATTCCCTCTGTCTTATCTTGCCTTTCAGCCCTTCCCTAAAACCAGCTGTGCCTGAGGAATAGCTCATCATTGTCTTTCTACTCAAGAAAAGGCTCCCAAATGCCTTTTTCTGAACTCACCCATCATTCTTCTCCCAAATTAAAAATGGGTTGGGGTCTGGCAAGTTAACTCAGCAGTCAGAGGTGTATGACTGGCATGTGCCAAGACCCAAGTTGGAATCCCGAAATCCCATTGTCCTCCAAGTTGGAACCACAATATTCCATGGACCTCCAAACACTTCTGGAATAAACAGCACCGCATCACTTGCCCAACCATCGAAATGTGGGGCCTAGTTGTTCCCCATGCCTCTGGGTACCACTTGAAAGTCAGCAATCCCCCAATACACAGAAGGGCTGACTTCTTTTTAAAATCACTCTTTTCCTGAATGATGACAAGTCCCCATCATATCTGTGGAAGAGAGGAAACAGGGCATAGACCATGTGCACTTGATAGTTCAGCAGCCTTCACCTATCATGACACGTGTCCTTCCTTGCTCAGGGCAGGCAGCCCAGCTGGTGAGTGAAGTCCCCGGGGTTGGCTCACTCTTCAGGCCACTAATCACGTTTTGAAGGTGACTTTTATTTTCTGGTTGTAAGACAGCAAACAGTTTTTGCTTTCAGGTCAGCACTGAGCCTTTACAAACCTATCAGCATTTCTGGATGACTGTTCAAGCAAGAAATGCTAAGGGAATAGAGGACAAGGGATGCGACCTTCAGTGGTGAGCTGGCTTTGACCCTTTCAGTATTTCAGACTTCCAAGCCAGCCTCTTCATTGGAAACTTTCTCAGAAAACTGAGCAGCTTCCGATGGGCCATTCTAAGGCTGCAAAACTTGAACCTGGGCAAGGTTTTGCAGTTAAATCCTTGCTGAGTTCTGGGTTATAGATATTTATGCCTTTTAGAACTCAGTTTCTTCTGCCTTCCAATTTCCTAAAGTGGATATTTATTGCAAGGAAAACAGAGTATCATAAGCTTTTATTACTTTTATGCAGCACTCAGCCAATAACAAGTTAAACTCAGAAGTACCATATTTTATATAGACAGGGATTTGCCTTTGATAAAACTTGCTCCAAACTGGTTTTCAACTGAATAAACTGTCTCTTATGTAGCCACTTATTAAATTACCAGTTCTTAGAACCATTGTACTAAGTACACTGGGATATAGCTCAAAATATAAGAATTTAGATTTTTTTTCCTGGGGCCCTGTATGACTTCAAGGCTGGTAAGGAAGGAAACCCACTGTTTTGAACAATACTTGCGAATTGAGAAATGACGGTTGTTGTTATTGTTGATGATGGTGTGCTACTGATGATCAAAATCATGTTTTACAAAACATTATAAACCAGGATGATATGATAAGCAACTACTGAAGCTATTAAGAAATGCTTGGAATTTTTTAGAAACATAAAAGTAATTTTCTTGTACCTGTTTTCTAGACTTGGCAGTTTTGGTTGGTTTTCATTTATTTGAGGGAGGAAAAATCCATCTCGCCTCATGGTTGTTTTACTTCCTTTACTCTTTTACTTCCTTCTTTTTCTACCTCTGTAACAACAAGGATCTTCTTCCAGTGCCTTGTACAAAATAGTTCTGCTTAGCATCAAGCCTTGCAGACTCAGATATATTCTCTTATGGTACTTATCAGAGTAAATTCTCAACAAAAGATGATTACTCCTTATACCATCTTGTTTGGAAAATAATTACCATATAAATTATCCTTGTCTTGTGGCATGACATTTTCACTGCTGTTATCCTCTATCTAACAACAGTTTTTATTTTTTTCTACTTTTTATCATGCTTGGAATAGAACCCATAACATTACGTGCAAGGCTCTACCATTGAGCCACATCCTTGACCTACCATTTCTACCCATCTTACGTTACCTTCAAGACCCTCTCAAATATAATATTTCTTCTATGAAGAAAATTTATTTTTTTGCCTGTTGGGTCACACCCAGCAATGCATGGGGGTTACTCCTGGCTCTGGACTCAGGAATTTCCCCTGGTGGTGCTCAGGGGACTATATGAGATGCTGGAAATCGAACCCGGGTTGGCCGCTGCAAGGCAAATGCCCTACCCTCTGTGCTATTGCTCCAGCCCTGAAGCTTTTTCTTATTTCCCAAATTAAAATTTTTTTCCTCAGAGATCTCCCTGACAGTGGGTATTAATGTGTCTGTGATATTTATTCTGACTGATTTGTTGATTGCTCTGGTTAGCTGCAAGCTTCATGAGGACAGGTAATTATGTCTGATTTTTATATCTCCTTTAGTGTCTAGCACCTTGCTCTGCATTTGGATGTTAACTATTTTTTTTTTAAGTTGAATGTGTTATAAAAAGCCAGAGGGGGGTTCTCACCAGGGAACACTATTAACAATTCAGATGAAACAGTTGTCCATTGTGTAAGAGTGTTGCATCACTGAAGAAGATTGCTTGAGCCCCTGCTCAGTTAATGGCTCTGGAAAACCCACTCTTAAATGTCACCCTCTTCCTTTAAAACCTGCTCTTTGGGGGCAGAAATAAGGAAGAGGGATAACCAAGAAAAAAGACATTTTGAGGTTAAGAAAGCTAATTACTTTTTGTTGTGGAAAGAGTTGTTTCAGTTAATCTGGATAGGGAAGTAAATTTAGGAATTGGTAAAAACGTCATAGAAGAAATTAATACCACTGTAAGGGAGATCTCTGAGGAAAAAAAATTTTAATTTTGGAAATAGAAAAATGCTTCAGTGCTGGAACAATAGCACAGCAATAACACTTCATAACATCAGCTTTGTCTTTTGGCTGGGATTGTTCAGAGGGCATTTCTAACACACAATTTTGGCTTGTTTGCTTGAGATTTGAGCCCTCAGAATGCAGATTGCAAGTTCTAGTAATCACAGAAGATCCTTGATCTGTGTTTGTTGAGTGAATGAATGAGACTTGCTAGAGTAAACCAGTGAAAGAATACAATCTTAAAGCAATTTTGAAATTAACACCAATGTTCAGGTTTGTTCCATGGGCCCCATGAAGGAAGTAATATGAAAGACAGCCCCAGCCTCACCATGGAAATTTCTTACCTTCATTACTCTTTCACAGAGCCAACCTTGGCTGCTTTCAGCAGGACCATTTATAAAAGTTCAAATCATTGGGTCTGAGAGATAGCATGCGTGGGGGGTAGGGTTCTTTCTTTGCATGCAGCCAACCCTCATTCAATCTCCAGTATTGCAAATGGTCCCCTGAGCACCACCAGGAATGATTCCTGACTATGGCATGATTTCTGGTATGGTCCAAATTTCCCACCCCACCCACTAAATGTTCAGAGCATGTGGCAGTAAGGAGCAGGGATGGGGGAATCTATCATAGTTTCCAAAGACCTTAAATAATCCATAGGTTAAAGCTGGGTAAGATAGGAGAAGGGACAGAGATTGTTCAAGAAGCAGAAACAATTCACTGCAATAGATTGAAGAATTGAGATGTAAACAGCCAATGAGGCCCCATTCAGAGTCTAGACCAAGGATCCCATGCCTATTGCCAGTGCCCGTCTGGAACTCAGTTCATTTGAAGGGCCTGTAACTATGGCTTGTTTACAGAAAACAATGAATGCTTGGGGGTAGAAAGGAATAATGAGCATCGTTTTCAAGCAAAGGAACTGTATGAGATTGTTTTGCTTGTGCAAGCATGGTTAGAAAAAATAGAATCAGTATGATGCAATAGTCCATGGAAGAGGTAACAATGACAACCTAAAGTCGGGGAGAATTGAGGTGATGGCTTGTGATGGAAGATTTGGAGTATAATATATAATATTTTGAAACCAAAGTTAACAGATTTGAAAATTGACTGGCTATGAGATTTTGGCAAAGAGAAACAGTTTTATTTTAGAGAGAAGAGTGAGATATTTGGCTGGAGAGAGATTATAGTAGTTAAGGTGCAAACCTTGAATGTGGCAATTCTGGTTTAATTCCCAGCTTCATCTGGTCCCCAAAGCATGACACCACTGTGGTAAACACCCAACACTGAGGGTCATGACTGAGAGGCCATGCAATCTTGAGCCTTTACACTTAGTGCAGTTGGAAGAGAATCTCCAGGAATGACCTCCAGAAACCCCCTGAGCACTATTTGGTAGGTTCTTCCCTAAAAAGAAAGTGGGATCTTTCAAACTTTGTAAGGTTCAGAACCAGTTTTTGTAGAAAATGAAATAAAAGTCAGATCCTATAATTCCAGAGATGCAAAGGACTCTATAATCTCCTCATTTATACATAATGTAAAGATGTGCTTGATGGAAAAAGGGGTTCATTTTGCCTTGAAAATTTCAAGTAAGCTATATTCAAGTAAGCTATATTTCAAGTAAGCTATAAGTAAAATTTCAAGTAAATTCTATACCCAGCCAATTCCTTACATGAAATTAATGTTGGCAATGATTTGTTATTTTTCCTGTAAGTGCCTCACTGAAATAGCAAGACATTGGTCAGTGGCATTAATATTTTAATACACTTTTTGTTTTATGCCATTAAACCATCTACTGATCAATGGCCAAGTTACATATATATGTTCCCACTAAATGAGGTTTACATTTAGTGAATACAGTCTGCATTAAAACTAGTGAGTCAGTGAGTCTTTAATAAAGGTTTTTCTTTTTTAATCTTTGACTAACATAACCATTTGGATGTCATTTCCAAGTAGTAATCTGGCTATGCCTTTTTCTCTAAAACTATGAGTAAAATCTTTTTGCCCTTGAAACCTTGTACTTTGCAATCTTCAAAAGCATAAAAGAGTTTCAAAGGGGATGAAGATGGTCTTCATAGGAAGAAGCATAAGCTGATATGGCGATAGTATATTGGCTAGTGAATGCACTGCAGATGCTTTGTACATCTGCAGGGCTGCATAGTTTTCGAGGATCACCAATGTTGATCACTGTTACGTACCTTAAGGATGCAGGGGGAGAGATTGAGGCTAAAAACACAGGTAGAAAAATCAGTGGGTTTTTGACTTTGCTTACTTCTTTTGTTTGTGCAGTACTAGGGATCAATCCAGGGCTTCACACATGCAAGGTAAATGCTAGTCTGCTGCATCACATCCCTGCCTCAACAGATCTGTTTGAGAAGCTTTGTTTACTTGTTTTTACCCACAACAGACAGTGTCAGGGCCTACTCCAAACTCTCAATTCAGACAGGGGTCTCTCTCTCTCTCTCTCTCTCTCTCTCTCTCTCTCTCTCTCTCTCTCTCTCTCACTGCCTCCCTCCCCCTCATGCCCCCCAAACCTTTGTTTCTTTATACCTTAGGTAGTGAGAAACTATCAGTAGAAACTTTCATACAGAAAAATGACAGCATTAGTTACAAGTCTGAAGATTTCCCTAAAAGTACTTTAGAACATGATAGGTAGCTGAAGACAGCAGGGAAGCTAGTTTGAAAGCCATTGCTTAGTCCAGGTAATGGTTCCAGGCAGTTACAGGATTCTGAGAGAGGCAATAAGAATCCACTTATTGGGGTTAAATGAAACAACTAGTCTCCTGTTGCCCATTCACTGTCTGGCATGATCACTCATGAGTTTTGGCCCCTTGTAATCAAGTCTTGGGTGAGTTAAGCTTATTTCTCTGTTTCAGTTAGTTCTGGATTCATTGGCTTCTCATGGGCACATTATGATCACCTAACAGTGACTACTAACTACTGCAAATTGATCTGATCTTATAGCTGGAGTGAATGACCAAGAGCCATAGGGTATTGGACTGAAAATTAGGGTCCTAGAATCAACTTCAAATCTCACCTCATCTATGGAAACTGGGACCCCAGGAGTCTATATAAGATGAATGCATATTTTCTCCCCAAATTTATGAAGAAGCTGTTTCATTGATTGATTGGTTGATTTATTTATGAATCACACCCATAGTACTTAGGGGCTATTCCTAGCTAGGTATTTTGGGGACCAGACTGTGTGGGGATCTAGGGCTCTTGTTTGTTCTCCATGTACATTAGCCCTCTGAGCTCATATATCTTCCCAGCAAATGTTTTTAAAAGTTAGTTTGCAAGTATTTGGAATTTGGAAATACTCTTGCCTTATTTGTTAGCCTGTCATACCTCTGCAGCAGTGCAGCTTCAAGATCATGAGGCAAAGAAAAAGTTATAACATTTAAAACTGACTCTGGTCTCATTGGAAGGAGCGCAGTTGTCATAAAATATTACCTAGCAGGAGCCTTCCTGAGTATTTCCATTTTGATGGTGTTGCAGCAGTCCCTGAAGAAGCTCTTTTTCCTAAGGGACCCAGAAGCAGTTTTGTAATTGTAGAAAGAATATCAGGCTTTAATCAGAGTTGTGGTTGTAGGTCAGAAAGATAGTAATAGTGTTAAGAAACTTGCCTTGCATGCTGCTCATCCTGGTTCATTCCCTGACACCACATATTGTCCACTGAGCACTGCCAAGAGTGATCCCTGACAAGAGTGATAAGAGTATAGAGCCAGAAATAAGTCCTGAATACTGCCTAGTTTACTGTAGCACTGTCATCCCGTTGTTCATTGATTTGCTTGAGCGGGCCCAGTAACATCTCCATTGTGAGACTTGTTGTTACTGTGTTTGGCATATCAAATACGTCATGGGTAGCTTGCCAGGCTTTGCCATGTGGGCTAGATACTTTCAGTAGCTTGCCGGGCTCTCCGAGAGGGGCGAAGGAATCGAACCTGGGCTGGCTGGGTTGGCCGCGTGCAAGGCAAATGCCCTACCCGACAGGAGCGCCTCGAGTACTGCCTAGTTTAACCCCCCATAAAACAAAACAAAACAAAAACTCTTTGGTAACATTTTGGGCTGGAGAGATAGGACAGTTGCCAGTCTGGGTGAGACACTTGCCTTGTACATAGTCAACCCTGTTTTCATTTCACAGCACTTATGAGTGATCACAGAGCACAGAGTACAACGATCCCAGGCAGGAAGCAGGAGGCCAGTTTTTGCTAGACTTGCTTTATATAGGCAGGAGGTGCTGGCAGCTCAGACTAGGTTGAGAGACACAGAAAAGGTGGAAAGAAGCTATTTCTGCATATATATGTTTTCTAACATTGGCCCTATAGAATGTCTGGGTGTATTAGATGGATAAATGAAAGAAAATAGAACTCAAAGATGACTTTGAAGTTTTACTTTGGACAGCACAAAAGACAAAGTGCCGTCAGCTGAGATTGGTAAGACTCTTCCTGAGATGGAGCAGATTAAAATGGAGGGATCAGGCAGTCCAAGCTGTATGTCTTAAAGTGACTTTCAGTACTCCAGATAGTATCCAGGTTAAGGTGGCTGCCTTATATTCAGCTGACAATGATTTTAATCCACAGTGCCATACATGAACCCCTGAGCACTGTCAGGAGTGATCTCTGAGCATAGAGCCAGGAGTAAGCACAGCTGGAGAGAGAAACAGAGAGAGACAGAGATTCAGTTAAATGATAAATGTACACATATCATATTGTTGTTTGGAGGCCTTGTCTTTAAGTGGCATCTGAGGACTAGAGAGAAACATGAGGAATTTGTGAGTTGTGTTCTCTTACCTATGTCCTATCACCATCCAAGGAAGTCTGAAATTATCATATTAAAAAGATTCAAGGAAGTCATTTTAAGAGCCTCTATCAATGATTGCATTCTGTCATTAAAATTACCCTATTTGGAAATGAATCCACCTTAAAAATTTTAATTGCAAGTAAGAGAACTGTCTCCTGATTTCAGCAATACTAATTCTGGTTGACCCTAAATTCCATGAGGCAACTATGAAATTGATTAGGATTTAAAGGCAATCTGGCTACATCATCTGCCACTCATTTGATTGCCAGGATTAATTTGGCTTCTCTCGTTGCCTATGGCTGATTGCCTATGGTTTATTACCAAACCATACTAAACATATAACACCTCTTGATATTTTAATGTTTGATAAATAAAAGGTAAGATTCCAGTTCTTTAAAATGAATATATGATATACATATGCTCACCATATTACAAAGACTAGAAGATAAACACTAAAAATTATATATTCAAGGAACTGGAGACATAGTACAAAGGTTAAGATGTGTTGCATGCAGCTGACCCAGGTTTGATCCCCAGCACCCCATGAGGTCTCCCAAGACCCATCAGGGAGTGTTTACTTAGTAGAGAGCCAGGAGTAAGCCCTGGGTATAGCCCCCAAACAAACAAGATTTACATTTCATTGTTGCATACTGTAAGTAGTGTCTTCACACTTTTTCCTGGTGTTCAATGGAAACATATTTCACTTTAATAACTAGCATTATCGTAGCCAGATAGATAGTACAACCAGTAGAGTTACTTTCCTTGTTTGCAGCTCACTCAGGTTCTATCACAGCACCACATATGGACTCCCTGAGCCTACCAGGAGTGATCCCTGAACACAGAGCCAGGAGTAAGCCCTGAGCACCATTGGGTATGCATTCCCAAAACAAATATGTATATGTGTATAATTAGCAATATTACAATATTTCTTTTAAAAAGGAATGTTTGTGAAAACCATGTCATAAAAGAAAAACATGATCTTGCCTCTTTCTGGCCTCTCCAGCTCACCATCTGCTACTTGGACATGCTGATGACCAGTGAGGAGCGCCGGAAGCAGCTGAGGGACCAATACTGCTTTGATTGTGACTGTTTCCGTTGCCAAACCAAGGACAAGGTATGTTGTAGGCCACCAGTCTTCAGAGCTGTATCTCAAGGGTTGTTCGGAATACTTGCTTCTGTTTCATTTATCTAAATGATAATGCCCTTCAGTGCATAGTCAGAAGCAGGTAATAATTCATGTGTTGTTGTGCATGTATTTTGTTTCCTGGAACTTGTGTCACCCACCAAGCAGTGAGATTCATGAAGCCTATGGCCTAGAGGGAATGGAGGCATAAACATGTAATTAAAAGGATATTGAAGACCAGAATGTTATTAGAGAATCTAACAGGAAATTTAAGTTACATTATGATTAATAACAGCTATTAGTCAGTAAAGAACATACCAAATTATATTAAGCATTTTTTACTTATAAAAAATTTGTTTTATAAGGCTTACCACCATAAAACTTAATCAATGGAGATCACTTATCTAGCATCTGTTACTCTGAGAAAGAAAGAATAAATGCCATAAAGATAATAAATGAACTTTCTTCATAATCTAGTTTCCTCACAGAGAACTTCTTTATTCTTAGTGTATACATTATTGGAGTATCTGGTGAAATCTTGCTTTTATGAAGTGTTTTACATTTGTTGGAATGCTTTTATAATCTTTATCTCACTTGAACTCAATAATAATAAATTAAGAAGCAGAGTTCAGAATGGTTGGGCTATAAACCTCTAGGAGAGGATTAAGGAAGAATGGCAGAACCAGAATTTTTTTTTTATTAGTGAGACACCATGAGGTACAGTTGTAGACTTACAAATTTTGTGCTTGGGTTTCAATTATACAATGATCAAATACCCATCCCTCCACAAGTGCCCATTTACCACCACCACGGATCCCAGTATCCCTCTCACCCCCATCCCCCCCATCCCACTCTGCCTCTGTGGCAGGGCATTCCCCTCTGTTCTCTCTCTCCTTTTGGGTGTTGTGGTTTGCAAAAGAGGCATTGAGTAGCATTCATGTTTGGTCTATAGTCTACTTTCAGCATGCTTCTCCGATCCTGGGAGGATCCTCCCAACACCCTTTATTTGGTGCTCTCTTCTCTATATGACTGTCTTTTACCCTAGCATGTGTGGCTGAGAACCAGAATATTTTGTTTCTTTTGGGGAGAACATGCCCCGTGGTACTCAAGGCTTACTTACATCTGGCAGGACTTGGTGGACTATATGGGATATCAGGAATCGAACCCAGATCAGCTGTACACAAGGCAAGCACCCTAACTACTGTGCTTTTGCTGCAACCCCAAGAACCAGATATTTTGATGTACCTCGTTCTTCTCCATAATCACTTTGAATTCTCGTGCCAACACTGGTGAAGAAAGGTCATTGACTTTCTCTGTGTTCTCATAATATAGGCGCCTGGGAATTTTTTTCTTAAAAAAAAAACTTTGGGGGTCTGCTATGAGATGACAAGCAGAGATGCTTTCCCAAAACATTCCCAGTCCAGGTGGAAAGCTAGCTCATTGCCTGTCATTCCAGATTCAGTCTGGGGAGATATCCAAAGTGGATGCCTGCTATGCTTGTGAATGGCAAAGGCTTACACTAAAATGTATTGAATCTGGTGAGCTATTAGTAGTAGATCCACTTTGCCTCTCATTTTACTTTTTTCTAAAATTTATTTTTATTTTTATTTAATTTTTTAAATTGAGTCACCATGAGATACGTAGTCACTAAGCTGTTCATGATCGGGTTTCAGTCATACAATGATCCAACACCCATCCCTCCACCAAGACGTGTACTTATACCATATTTGTCAGAACTATGTCACATGATCACCTTTAGTTATAAAAGAGAAATATCATAAAAATCGTCATTTTGGCATTTTAGATTTTTACCCCAGAGGATAGTAAGGGAGAAGGCACTATGAATGAATTTGTGTTAGTCAAGCCACAGGGACTGCTACATCTATTAAAACAGTTCTCTTTCCTCCTTTGAGTGAAAATTTTACTCAATAATATAGTAAGGCTCTTCTGAGAAGGAAAACCTATAGGATGTGTGTGTGTATGTGGTGTGTCTAGAGATGTATTATAAAAATTTGGCTTATGTGATTGCATAGTCGGCAAGTGGGCACCTAGGAGAGCTGCTAGAACTAGATGTGGCCCTGCTTGAGATCTCAAAGAACCAGTGTTTTCATTTAAGTCTGAAGACAGAAAAATAATAATAAAAGAAAATAATATCAAAGTCCCACTTAAAAGCAGAAATCCTCTTATTTTTGGGAGGGCCAATCTTTTAAGTCTAGTCATATCATCAACTGATTGAATGAGACCCACCAATGTTGATACATACATTATGCTTGCACAGTCCAAAAAAGCACCCTCACAGAAATATTCACAATAATATTTGTCCAAGTATCTGGGCATCCCATGACCTAGTGAAATTGACACATAACATTAACTATTCTAAGCACTGTGCTACAAAATAGACCACATGATAAAATCCAAAAAATAATTCAGTTATTCATCTGACAGACTCAACAATTTGTAGGAATTCTTTCAACTTCACTGATTTGTGCTAGAAAGTTAAACTAGAATATATATTTTTTTTGTTTTGAGGTCACACCAAACCTGGCAGGGCTCAGGGCTTACTCCTGGATATGTCCTCAGGGATTATTTTTGGCAATTCTCAGGGGACCACATGTAACACCAGGGATTGGACTGAGGACAGTTGTATGCAAGCCAAGTGCCTTAACCACTGTGTTATCTCTCCTGTAAAGGCTAGTAGATCCTAAAACCCCTACCAGCTCAAGAATCCATCTTTCTCTGAAGTGTTTCTGAGTAGAAGTGAGAGGGATAGGTAGTTAGATGAAAATAAAAGCCATATTTATATGAGTTCATTATATTTCCAACTGTCCCTTTAACTGGGACTTTTCTTTTTAGTAATATAAACACATCTCTTCTGAAATCTCTGTACTCTGAATTTTCTTTGAAAAAAAAAATACAGAACTAGATTTAGCTTAGTGCATTCCCCAAGGACTGTAAATTCAAAATTACTTGAGTCAAAATTAAATGTACTTCGGTTCTAAGATATGAAGTTTTCAAGCTTACTTTTCTGCTTTTCTCAGTTTCAAGAAAATTCTTCTTGACAGGTTTCTGCATCAAGCAATATTTACTAGTGTATGTCCCTGCATCTTCTTAGACTTTCATGGCTTCATGTTTCAGGAAGGCAAAAGAGTTTTTTAATGATTGATATACTTTGCATGTGTGCAGCTAGTTGTCCTTTGTAATCAGCAGCAACTTAATTGCTGGAATAAATAAAATTTACCTTTTAAAGGAGTTTATGCAATGATTTGGCTTCCTCTGTGATTCTCAAGGTCAAAATCCAAGGCAAGAAAAGTAGATAGACCAAATGGAACTGATTGTTTCCATAAGTCTGTGGGGTGTATGTAGCATGCTTCATTAGAAGCATGTTTTATTAAAAAAAATTTTTGTCACGTTATATTTTCTTTCTTATAGACTCCTACATTTGAAACTTCTTTTAAAACTAGAATGTCTATTAATTTCCAACCCTATTACTTTACTTTTTGATTATTGAAAGAGTCTCTAATTGATCACCTAGCCAATTGTTTAATATTTCTTCCCCTTTTCAAAGAATAACATCTTAATTTATCTTGTTTGTTTTTATCCCATACCCAACAGTGCTCAAGGCTTACTCCTGGCTCTGTGCTCAGGGATCACTCTTGTCAGTGCTCAGGGAACCATCTGCAATATGGGAATCCAATCCAGGTCCCCTGAATGAAAGCAAAGCACGTCATCCTTTGTACTATTTCTCTGGCCCCTCAGTTTCTTCCCTTCGACAATTTATAATCTGTTTTAGAGTAGCTTTTCCTAAGTACCAGCATGCCATTGCCTTGCTTCAAAGTTTTGTTTTTTGGGGGGCTTGGTTTTGGACCATACCTGGTGATACTCAGGGCTTACTCTTGGCAGAGCTCAGGGTACTATATGGGATGCTGGGGGATTGAACCCAGGTTGGCCTTATGCAAGGCAAGAGCTCTACCAGCTTTATGATCTGTCTAGTCCTGCTTTACTTTAGAATTTTTAAAAATGCACAGCATTATCTTTAGTCTTTGGGATAAACTTCAAATTCATGGCTAGGCCCTCCGTGTTTCCCAAGTCATAACTGACCCCTAGTTCCAGCCCTTCTTGTTTCTTTTCTTTCTTCTCCACTCCCCATATCCTACTTTTCCCTTTTCTTCTCCTGTTTGTCAACTTGTTTTTCTCTAGTTATATCATTTTCTCTTCCCAAAAGACTCTGAAATGTCTCTGAAGCACACATATAGGCAAAAATATGTGTAATTTTATTCATGCATATATGAAACAATAGCCCCAGGCTTTACTTGTGAGATAAAAATGAGAACAAATGAGTTGAAAACAAGTTAGTAATCAAAAAGTACTCCATATGATCCTACATAGTGACAAGTAAGTCACAGATTGGCTTTAAATTTCTCAGTAGCTAAAACTGACAGATTAATATTAATCACCCAGAAATTGTAATATTGAACATGTCATGTTCCTTTGCCAGAATGTACCTGTAGCAGTGACCTGAGACCTTCATAAGTGAGATTGAATGGCCAGCATTATTGCTAGACCGCCACAATGATATTGAAATGGCTGGTTTGTAAGTTGCTGATGAAATAGTAGATCCAGGCACTGAATTAGGGACTCCTTACAACCAGAAGAAGTAGAAACCAAACATCTGTCTCTTGATTGAAGAATACAATATATAGAGCTTTGCCAAACTGTCTGTGGACCTGGCTGCCAATATACAGGAAATACCAAGGATAGAGGAACAAATGGAGCTGCCCTAAGGAGACAGACTTCACACATTCCAGCCCATCAGAGATTCCAGGCTGTGGCTTTGCTTTTTCTTTTTCCCTCAGAAAATAAATTACAAGGGGGAAAAAAATAAGGCATGGTGGATAATTTGTAAAAGAGATGGAAAATAACAGATTTTAAAGACTGGGAACAAACAGAGTCATGCTTTTGAATACACACTGGGGGATGAAGTCAAAAGGAAA